CCTGTTTTGTATATCTCCTCTTGTTCCCCCCCCCCCTTTATTCTCAATAAATCTTGGTTAAATTTTCTCGAAAAAAAATTTTATCAAGCAGTGCATCTACTTCTTGGAAGTTTTTTTATTTTTAAGCATATAAAACTTACCAGGTTTACCAGATTCAAGCTTCTCTTTTCCGTGACTCCATCCAAAATTGTATCTAGAAAATGAAAAAATTAATAAAAAATAAGAGAAAGTTAGGATGCTATTGTAATGTAGGTATCTTAGTGTCCAGTTCATCATCAGCTAAAAATTATAAAAGAAAATTAACATAAAATTATCCAATGATCACCACATACATCACTATCATTTGTTAAATTTGCACCAAAATAAGCCTCCTAATGTGAAAAATCAAAAAAGAACAAAATCTGTATTGAGAAGAGATTCTAAAGAGTCTATCATTTGTATGTTTGTTTAAATTAATTGATCACACATGAAGAAATGATCTTCAGTGAATTCTATGATTTCAGAAAATGGGCTGGACTATAGGGTTCAGTTTTATTGGCCATCAAATGGTTGAGGCCTTGATTTGGGATAAACACTAAAGTATATTTCATTGAAAACCATTTGGTTGGTTAATGATCATGCGAAGCTTGGTATTTTGGCATTGTGTTGTTCCATTCAGTACTTGCTAAATATTGGGCCTCTGCTGGTTCTTGTTCAAGGAAAACTTCGGCCCCATAATTCCCTTTCTTCTTTGATTTGACCTTTAGATTCTTAAACTTGAAAACCTAATTTCAGTAAGTAGTTTTTTTGTTCAAATTTCAATTTTTATTATAGTTTTTTATTCAAACAGTCCATATCCAGCCCTATGAAAACATAGTTGACCAGACAAAGTTTTATCCATTAAGATGCTAAAATTTTGCTTTCTCTCAAAATCTAGCTAATGTGCCCTGATATTTATCAAGTAGACAACTTTAAAAGTTTAAGTTATTGTAACTGCATCTACATTCTACACCACCACCGCTGCCACCAGAACAGAATAGCCACTTCTAATCATCATATCTAATAGATGGTATATATTTACTGATTGAGGGACATTTAAGCTGTTTATGTGATAAATTTGATGAATCAGAGTGAAAATTATGTTGATCTAATGAAATCATTTTTGGTCAAGTAGTTCTGTGAACCATACTTTGAATTCCTTTTATCCTAATAATATTGACTACTAAACTTAAATCAAAATCCTTGTGGTTTCCAAAATTTCTACTTCTATGATTCCATGACATTCAAGAAAATGACATTGTGACTGAAAAGAAAATGTATATACCAAGTAGAATGAAAAGTGACAGCTTTACCTGCTCTGAGGATCTTCAAGCTCCTTCTTAACCTCCTCTGGGAGGCTTGCTAACCTATTAAAGGAGAAAGATCAAACAACACGTACTGATCACTTCAAGCCTCTTTTTGTCTTGTTTCTTACATCATACCCTCACAAAAATCACAAAAAAAATAAAAAAATAAAAATAGTACCTGGGTGAAAGATGTAAAAGATTTTGACGCAATGAAGGAAAGCCAGGAACCTATAATAAAAGGAGAGGCCACAATATCACAAAAATCATAAGAAAATAGCAGATGAAAAAACAAGAACCACAGGAAAAAAAAGGAGTCAAAAGAAGTCAAAAGATAAAAAATCACAATAGGTTGGCAAACAAATAGGCAAGAATTAGAATAACGTTGTATAATTAAAACCGAAAAACCTAGCAAAAAAGTTTTAAAAGAACAAAGGTGTTTCTGAGAAGAAAAGAAAGCCAGGATAAATTTTAGCCAAAGCTGCCAAAAGTTTCACATAGAAAGACTGAGAGAGTCAAAATTCATTGAAAAAAAAAAAGACTGAGAGAGTCAAAGCATCCAAAATATAATAAGAAATTGGCAAACAGTTATGCAAGAATAAGGTCAGCCTTCCATAACTCAAACCAAGAGAGCATAGCAAATAAACCTTAAAAGAAATAAAGAAGGATATCATCAATCGTCTTCAAAATTAAGGTGTGGATCAAAAGATCTATTAGGAATTTGGACCTCAGGCCCAGTTTTATAACTTAAGGCAAATTACCATGACACCTACAACACTTCTTTTTTTGGTATTACAAATTCCATTACAGGGGGATCAAGGGGTGGGGACAGAGCAGGGAACACATGAGGTCCACCGACCTTGCCACAGAGAGCCTGCAGCTACACAGGTTTGATTCCACGCCTCCGTAATCAGAGTGATGCCAAGTGACCATCTCAACTACTGGGTCATCAGCCCTACAACACATATTAGGGCATTCCAAATTGTTTCTTCACAAGCCACAATATAAAACAGCTAAGGCATTACCATCCAAATTTAGAACTAACAGCAATATTGTTCTGACAGACAAGGAAGCATATTCAACAAGTGTTGTTAAATTTTAGCAATGATGAATGAATGTGTCAAGACCCATGATAACAAAATATGCCAACTACATCATTCTTAGTTTGTAAAGCAGGAACCACTATGGACTTCTGATATGTCCCGAAAATTTCACACACAATTCTCAGACACAAGGCAAGAACTACACAACTCAAATAAAGAGAAACTGGTATTCATTCATAGGAAAGCATTAACAGTAGGTCGGTTCTTCGAGAGACCGCCGACTCTCCCAAACACTCAAAATATTCTTCACTCCAAAAACATACCTTTCCCCATCCCCAAAAGACCCTTCTTATACTCTTCTGACAGCATAACTGACTCCCCCCCATAAATGCCCAGCTGGCCTAATTATAAATGCCCAACACTCTTCTTATTCATAACTGACATACCTATAAATGCCCCAAGACTCTTCTTATTCCCTTCTGACTTCCTCAATAAATGCCCAACTGGTAAGCCCCATGTGTTCAATTATTTCCCCCCTTAACCAATTGCTGCCCTTTCCTTTTCCTAGCATACGTAAGGTTAATTGGGGGCCTATCATTACCCGCCACCCAAAGACTAACCTTGTCCTCAAGGTTAAAATGAGGGAATTGGTCTCAAAGCAAGTCAAAAGGCTCCCAAGAATCTTCAAAATCAGGCAGGTCCTGCCAATGAATAAGCACTTCCAAACCAATAACTCCAGGCATAGTGGATGGGCGCACACCGCACACGGCAGCAGGTTCCACAAGCATCTCCATATCAGTAGACAGAGTGGAATGAATCACAGGAGAAGAGATATGGTTGCCAACCGCCTTCTTGAGTTGCGAGACATGAAAAACTGGGTGAATCCGTGCATCTGGAGGAAGTTGAAGTTTATCAGCGACAGCGCCAATTCTTTCCACAATAGCAAATGGTCCATAAAAACGAGGGGCAAGCTTTTCATTGACTCGGCGAGCTAGAGACTGTTGGCGATAAGGTCGCACTCTCACATACACCCAATCCCCGACATCAAAATTCACATCACATCGGTTCGCATCAGTCAAGTCTTTCATCTTTTGTTGTGCACGGTGTAGATGAGCACGTAGCTCATCAAGTATAGCATCACGCTGAAGGAGAACAGCTTCAACATCAACATTAGCCGTACAGCCAAGTTCATAGCGGATTAGTGGAGGAGGATCGTGCCCATAAACCACCTTGAAAGGTGTCATGCCAGCAGCAGTGTAAAAAGAGGTATTATAGTTGTATTCTGCCCAAGATAACCAAGAAGACCAGCAGGAGGGAGAATCAGCCGCGAAGCAGTGCAAATAAGTCTCTAAACAGCGATTAACCACTTCCGACTGACCATCCGTCTAGGGATGGTAAGCTGAACTACGACGCAATTCTGAACCTTGCAAAGTGAAAAGCTTGCGCCAAAAGAAACTCATAAAGACTTTATCACAATCAGACACAATTGATCGGGGAATGCCATGTAAACGAACTATGTTGTGTAAGAAAGCCTGAGCAACCGTGAGAGCTGAGAAAGGATGACTGAGAGAGATGAAATGGGCATACTTGGAGAGACGATCGACCACCACCATAATTGTATCAAATCCCTTCGACTTAGGAAGAGCCTCAATAAAGTCCATAGCAATATCCTCCCAGATCTGTTCAGGAACGGGTAAAGGTTGCAAAAGGCCAGCAGGAGACATGGCTTCATATTTACTGCGTTGACACACATCACAGGCCTCACAAACTCCTAAACAGAACGTTTTATCCCCCGCTAATAAAATTCAGCTGCTATATGCCAATATGTCTAGCGGATTCCAGCGTGACCTCCCACAACACCAGAATGAAACTCTTTAAGAGGGGGATAAATGGAGAAGAAACCGGCTGAACCAATTTACCATGATAACGAAGGTGATCCCCAACTAAAGAGTAGGCAAGATAAGCAGTCGGATCATGCTGTATGACATTTTTTATGTTGGCCAGAAAAGAATCAGCATCAACTTGCTCCTTAAGGTCATCAAAATCAAGAAAAATAGGGACTGTAAGAGAATTTAAGTGCATTTCAGCAGGAACTCTGGAGAGCGTCAACCACGGCATTTTCAGTACCAGGTTTGTACTGAATCTCAAAGTCACAATTCATAAGCTTAAGGAGCCACTTATGATGCTCACCTTCGACAATCCGCTACTCCAACAGATACTTAAGACTACGCTGGTCGGTACGAACAATAAAGCGTCTACCAAGAAGATAGGGGCGCCACTTTTTAATGGCAAAGACAATAGCCATCAATTCACGCTCGTAAACCGATTTAGACTGTGCAGACGGATTAAGCTTGTGGCTGTAAAAAGCTATGGGATGTATTCTGCATTAATACCGCATCGAGACCCACACTGGATGCATCTGTCTCGATCAAGAAGGGCTGAGAGAAATCCGGAAGGGCCAACACAGGTACGGTCGTCATAGCTCGTTTCAACTCCTGTAAGGCGTTCTCAGCTGCTGTACTCCATGAGAAGGCATCCCTTTTAAGCTGTTGTGTCAATGGCCATGCTATTTTACTGTAGTTACGCACAAAACGGCGATAATAGCCCGTAAGTCCCAGAAAACCGCGAAGAGATTTAAGTGAAGATGGTTGGGGCCAATCAACCATGGTCTGGATCTTGGAAGGATCGGTAGAAACACCAACCGCACTGATAATATGACCCAGGTATTCAATACTAGGCTGAGCAAAGATACATTTCTTTGAGTTAGCAAAGAGACGGTTGGCACGCAACACAGAAAAGACCTGTTGAAGGTGATCCAAATGGGCAGTTTCGGAAGCACTATAAACCAGAATATCATCAAAAAAAACCAGCATAAAGCGATAGAGGAAACCATGGAAGACAATATTCATTAACGACTGAAAAGTCGATGGCGCATTGGTAAGACCGAAGGGCATGACAAGGAACTCATAATGGCCCTCATAGGTGCGAAATGCAGTCTTGGGAATATCCTCACTGCGGACACGAATCTGATGGTAGCCCGATTTAAGATCAATTTTGCTGAAAATAGAAGCACCATGAAGCTCATCAAGAAGTTCTTCGATAACCAGAATGGGAAACTTATCCGGAACCGTAACACGGTTAAGGGCCCGGTAATCAACACAGAAACGCCAACTTCCATCCTTTTTCTTGACTAAAAGGACGGGGCTCGAGTAGGGGCTTGTACTTGGCTGAATAATACCCGCGGCCAGCATCTCAGAGACAAGGCGTTCAATTTCATCTTTCTGGAACTGAGGGTATCTGTAAGGACGAACAGAGATCGGGGACGTGCCCTCATGCAAGACAATAGCATGCTCCGTAGCCCGAGTAGGGGGTAAACCCGTAGGCATATCAAAAACATCTTTGAACTCATCCAATAAAGCGGAATGGTAGGGGTATGGGCAAGGCAGAGTTCAACGAAGAATCCACCACCTGCAAATGTTTTAATTCCAACAAAACCCCTTGTCCCTCATGTTGTAAGTTACGCATCATAGCATGCAAAGACACCTGAGAAGAACAGAGAGAAGGGCCACCTTGCAATTTCACACGGACACCYCCCAAATTGAGCTTCATAGACATGTTACCCCAATTCATCACTGAGTCCCCGAGGGATGCTAAACAAGGAAAACCAAGAATGACATCCATAGAGCCCAATTTTAAAGGGAAGAAATCAGCAATGACATCCAATTTAGGTAAGTTGAGGCAGACCTGACGGCAGACTCCAGAAGTTCTCACCTCGTCGCCATTACCCATCTGAACTCCAAACTCGTGTGTAGGAGCGCGGGGTAATTTTAATTCCTCCACTAAAGCTTCGGAGATAAAATTGTGGGATGCACCTGAATCTATCAATACGACCACCTCATGCGACAAAATGCGTCCACGTACCTTAAGAGAATTAGCCGCACACAAGCCCACAAGAGACGAAACACAAAGCACGGCTGAATCTGGAGCCGGAGCAATTTCAGTGTCCGCTGAAGTGGTGTCCAAATTAGACACATCAGAAGTAACTTCCTCCACCTCATCTTGAACCCATAAAACCTGAAGTGATTTTTTAGCACAACGATGACTAGGACTGTATTTCTCGTCGCAACGGAAGCATAGACCCTTCGCACGCTTCTGCTGCATCCCTTTATCGATCATTTTTTTGAAAGCATAGACCCTTCACTTCAAAAACATACCTTTCCCCATCCCCCAAAGACCCTTCTTATACTCTTCTGACAACATAACTGACTCCCCCTCCCCCCCATAAATGCCCAGCTAGCCTAATTATAAATGCCCAACACTCTTCTTATTCATAACTGACATAGCTATAAATGCCCCAAGACTCTTCTTATTCCCTTCTGACTTCCTCAATAAATGCCCAGCTGGTAAGCCCCATGTGTTCAATTATTTCCCCCCTTAACCGATTGCTGCCCTTTCCTTTTCCTAGCATACGTAAGGTTAATTGGGGGCCTATCAACTTCATGGCTTAAAGAACATATTTTATTCATAAAGGCAGAAAAACTTATTGAAGATGAAAAAGAGACACAGACTGAGGAAGAGGAAAAGCCTTCTTATTACAATATATCGCAATGCATGTAAAGCCACAAAAAGCTAATAAGTACTGGTTGTGTTGAGATAGCTTAGCTAAGAGAAGAACAAATAATGTTTTGTCTTCTAATTATTTTTGGGAAAAGGGAATTTGTATTTGAACTGTCTTAAATAGTTGAATTTAATATTGAGTTTTAAACCATTGACCCAACCAAGTTTATTGCTTCAACCACAGCTTTTGCATCAAGATGTGCTGATTGATTCAAACGAAGCTCGAGTTTATCAATCAAACCACTTGGAAATACAATGGATTGGTCCACTTGGAAATACAAAACTCGTTGTTTAGAGTGTTCATTTTTTTCCTCGAATTTGTTTGTGTTTCCTACTTGTTTAAAGTAAACATCTCAAAACACGAAACTTAAATTGATCATAAAAACTTCAAGACGACATTTAATTCATACTTCTGAAACTGATAGAATTCCCAACCCATTGGGTCCAAATCCATCTTCAATCTTCGTCGACAAATCCAAATCCTTGTCCTATTCCACAAAAACAAAAACAAGTCATATAAATTCAGAGTAACGAAAAAAAAAAACAAAAGATGAAAAAAAAAATTGTCTGAAGTGGTAATTGTCTAATGATCAGAACCATGAGATTTTAAGTCGTTATTGAATCGAAACAGACATACTTTGAGCTCTGAATACGAAATGGTAATTGTCTGAAGTGTTTGAGGAGTGTCCTCATGCGAGCATGACATTTTCTGGCACGAAATCCGGCGGGAAAACCAGCAGTTGAAAGAGAACGAAGTGGGAAATCGCGACGAAGAGGAGGGGCAATGGTTGAGAGAAGGGATCTTGGAGAAAGCTGGAGGTCTTGAGAGCTTCACAGTCATCTGTTCTACGTTTATCTCTTCCCTGTCAATTCAAATGCGAGAGAAGCTGAATAGGATTCTGTTCCTATGAATCGAAGCATCGAACCTTATAAATGTTAGCGGTGCTTTGTTCGAATGCGTCACGAAACGGAAATTTCTTTTTAGCGGGATTTGACTTTAGGCGACGGAATTTCCTCCAAGCGAAAAAAGCTCTGCACATTGTGTGAAAGCATGGGCCTCCTGCAAGCAAAAGCTCTGCACACGTAGCATCCAACTCGTCGCTTGGCCACTTGGGATCTGCTCCCCACAAGTTGTTCCCACTCTTTACCCACTGAGCACTATTGGGAACATATGCCGACAAGGGAGATATAAGCAATGATGAAGTATAAATTTGTTTTTCCATTTAAGTTTGTATTTTATTTGCTTGGGCAATAATTATAATTATTTATGATAATTAGGCGTCATTAGGTTTTACATCAATATAACAATGAAAAAATGTTTGATCGTTTATGAAAACTTTAAAAAATAATTTTTTTAAACAATAGACGTATACAAAAACTAAAGTCTACTTTTATTATTTTTAACACGTAGGGAAACTGCTGAAGTAACGTCTATATAGTAGCATTTATTGAATAAAGGCCCACGAAACAAAGCACCTTGGTAATGTCTCGTCTCGTGAGTAGAGATGTAGGAACAGTTTATCAGTAGCAGATCCGAGCCCTTGCTTGGCACTTCGGCAGTAATTGGTGAAAATTCTAATGTAAAACGTCAGATTGGAATGTTATTTTGGTTATATAGTGTATATCTAGTATCTACACATTTATTGTGCTCCTCCTGTAGAATGAATCCGGACCGTTTTGGTTTTGGAAAACGAAGCCTGTCCTTATTTTCCCGAGGCAAATGTACATTTCGACCAATCCAAACCGCTTAAGTTTATGGTGGGTCCAGTTTAATGGTGAGATGTGTGGTGTCGGGACCAGCCCCACGTTAGGGACATGTCCCATAAGTTTGACACATATGTACCAGAGATATTTTAAATGTGCAGCTGGGGGTATAGGCCGAGCCAAGCCCAGGTAGACTTTAATATTGTTGATAACCTACAAAAGCTCAACTCAAGCCCAGCCCGGCCTAACCCATGATCATCCCTACATCTAATACATGGCGGGTCTCAATTTTGTGGTGGGTCCCAATCGCATAGTGAGATGTGCAGTGTCATATCATGTTGGAATTTGGAAGGATGTTGAGACTTGTTTTATTGGTAGGAAATCCCAACTCCTTTATTTCCTTGCCTGCTAAAAGAGTTTTTAGTCGCAAATACTCTCTTACATCACAGCCATGGTAACCAATCACACACAAGAAGCTCCCAAATAGACAAAAATTTTCACAATCTACCATGATAAACTATAAATGGATGGAACTAAATCAGATATGGATAGACCTAAATTTGATTCATCAATTCAACCCAAAATATTGCATTCAAATTGAATTCAGATGATAATGGGATATTGAAGAATATAAATAACTTTAATATTATATTTTACTAGTGTAAGAGCATGTAATATGCTCGTGTGTAAAGAAATATTACCATACATAATATACATATAAATACCCAAAAAAGTATATGATATAAATATGGTATTTGGATTTAGCATTTATGGTGTACGTAAAATTTAAGGCAATTATCTACTTTATATAATATATATAGATAAATGAGAAAAATAACTGAAAATTACTTATACGAAAGTTGAACCTATAAAATACAAATCAACTTTACTAATTGGGTCTTTTACACCTTATTTCTTTTACCACATTTACAACTGCATTGGTACAAAGCTGTTATTGTAAATGGTTGCTTACAAGAGATGCTCTCAATAGACATTAGACACCACCTACCTTTGGATACAACTTGGCCAATTAGCAACAGTGAATTGGAATCTCTTATTCATCTTTTTTTTATTGTCCTGGAGCGAAGGTCATTTGGTTCGGTCATACATGCAATATAGATTCTAGACTAGAAGACTATCAGTTTCATGAGTTCATCTTCAGCCAGTGCAAACCCGTGCTAACACCATTCAAACAGCCTCTTGCAATCTTGCGTTGGAAATATCTCTCCATGAAATAAAGCGCATGAGTACAGAGATATTCTTAATGCACCTCCTACCAACATTCTTAAAAGCGACGTGGATGCTAAGATTTGACTTGTTCATGGGCTGGGCTTCAGGCTCAACTTTAACTGTATTGGGTTCAGACTTTGTGTTGAGTCCATTAGAATTTTGGCAAAAGCAAAGCCCGATTGAGCATTCCAGTGCATCTGTTGGAATGAGAACCTTTCTCTTTGCTTGTGTTGAGTCCATACAAAAACCTTTCTCTTTGCTTGTGCAGTACCCATTTGCCAGCTTGAAGCATTTAAAGGCTTGGAGTGAAGAGTTCTTATGAGAGCCTCAAGTCTGATGCTCAACCTATTGTTCAACTTCTATCGGTGGCAGATTTCAACCCATTGTTGTGGTGAACTGGTGATCACGAACCGTGCCCGCAAATTGCACAAGCCTTCTGAACCACCTTCCTAATGGATTGGTTAGATAAGTACCTAAAAAAATGCTAATTGTGCTGCATAAATGTTTGCTGGATATGGTCTCCCCCTTAGCAGACCAAAGACCTGGTCACCTGTTCCTGAATTTTTAGTTCCCACTGCTAAATTGAATGAAATGTGTTTTGCCTTCACACACACAAACCCTTTATTGATTGATACAATGTAAAACTTAAGCATATATGCTCAAAATTGAATTGAATAGGAGGAGTGCATCCATATTTGATTCAATTATAAACTAATCAAATTTTGGGTTGGAAATCGAGTCAAATTCAGATCACCCCACATGGGATCAAGTTTGAATTAGGACAATTTGATATCATGACTATGTGGTTGAACCAGTAACTCCCTTTAATGATGACATTGATATGGCCGAAAACTGGCAATCATGTTGGCATGGTTATATATATCATCCAAGGCAAACCAGCTGAGGTTGCTTGGGGTTGGGGTTGGCGCTAGTGAAGGAAAGGTGGTAGATGATCTTCTATCAACTTAAAAGGCTGATACAATCCTAAGTATCTGATACTTGTAGAATTTGGCATTGTACCTCAAGGAAGGTTTTTAAGTATACATCCCTAAGGCTCAGTTTGGAAGGAGTACAAATGCAAATTTGTAGAGTGCAAATACATACAAAATAATACAAAATACAAGGTTTTACACTCTACAAATTTGCATTTGTACTCCTTCCAAACTGACCCTAAACTAAAAGTAGATTAACCAACATGCAATATGTGCATTACATTCAGCGGTTTGAGAATCCAACTCCTACACTACACACAGATGACAAATCCGTAGTAACATGGTAAATTGGTAATCAAATACAACTGCATCTTTGTTGGAAAACCATAGTATATAATTCTTGTAGGAAATCCAGAGTAATAAGGTACTCAATGAATACTCTTTGTTGGACATGACTAACAAACTAGTAAAGCATAGTGGGACTTGTAAATTGGACAGAGAAGGAAGATGTCTAAATTGGACAGTACATAAAAGGGGTTGGAAGGAAGTGTGTTTAACTGCTTATGATGTTGGAACTTGCACGTCACAGTTCATCAGACTGCACCATAATATTGATCAATGCTTTGTTTCATGCCATCTAACTGCTCAATGACATATTCCAGCTTCTTGAAACAGATCTCGTTGGATATTCTTGAACTGTAATCGCACTTCTCAAATGGACGATACTCGCATGCACTTTTGATTTCTTCCCGCAATGTCACTTGGATGTCCTGACATAATGCATCAAGTGCTTAAAATCTTTATATTCCGGCAGCAACAGCCAATGGTTGGAAGAATCAAGGTTCAATAAGAGCCATAGTGTTAAAACTATGGGGGTTGAAATAAACCCCAAGTAACTAGATATATGTGGGCAGAAAAGAGGATCAAGCTTAAATATTGTTAGGATAATGAGCTCCAGGCTGAGCACTTTATGACTGATCTGATTTTAAAAGGATTTGCATTAATGAGATGGTATCCAATAAAATAGAATAGCAGCCATGATCCAGAACAAATTGATCTTTGTGTACGTCTACAAGGGATAAAACTTGGTTCAACCTCAAACCACGGGGTCATAGTTTAGTTGAACAAAGCAAGATTAGCTGGCTTGTAGTCAGATGTAACCTCTGAGGATCCATCTAAATTCTAAAGCATGGAATACATATTAGTCTTCCACAGCTCCACTGTTATCAATGGATAAAACCAGAGTACTAAATACCCACCGCTATCAAAGAAAATGTTAGAGTATGCAAGGAGAAAGTTTTAAAATTCATCCATAAAGCTTGGTTTCATGCACATCAACCAACTGAAGATCTTAAATCCATTGAACCAAATGTGTCTTTCAATTTAAGTGGTAAGCAACAACCAACTACTTCCCTCTCACTACTAGAAAGATTGACAATTATAGAGCACTGTAAGAATTGCTTTGTGACTATTTCTAAATTTTAAACTCTGAAACACTTTAAAATAGATAACTAACCGAATCTAAATAAATTCCACTCACCCAAGTCAGAAAAACTCATCATAATCATCTTTGTCATTATTGTTGCCTTGTTGGCATCAGTCCAACCAAGAAAATTGACTAAAAATCTAGGTCAACAGTTGGTTCTCAGCCTAAAGAAATAATGAGGCCTAAGACACAAGCACCAGCTCAACAAGTTATGCTTGAACTGTCTGTGAGATAGAATCAGAAGATACTCACATCTCTTCTTTTTGGGGAGAAAGGGGGAACAAAAGTACAAATGTTGGGAGGAACTGAGCTTACATTTACATACTTAAAATAACTAAATTGACATTGAACTTACAAGTTTAAGCCTTACAGAGTATAGACATGTGGATGTATATAAATTGTTTTTTATAAGTAGATAAACTTAATAAATAACATAAATCACATCCCAATTTTGTCTCCTGCTCAGGCCTATGGAAGCTCAAATTCCTTTTATTAATAAGAAACTAATCATGACAAATAGATCAACAAATATTCGGATTTGTACATAAATAACCAAAAAGATACAAACCTTGATCGACTGCATAAACTCACGACAATGGTTGTTAAGAATTTCTATCCGTGGACCAGTTGAGTTTGAAAGCTCATCCATTACACTACCAGCAAGCTCCAAAACCCTGATGATTCTCTGAGAAATCAAAGAGAATTTCCTCCTTATTGGGAAACACACCACAGAGTATCATTTGAATAGAAACATTTATTTTCCTTGTTTTTTAGGTTCTATTACCTTCTCCACATGATGAAGTCTCTGCAATGAAGTGTTTTGGCTTTGAGAATCCATTAAGTTTCCAAAATTCCTAAAAAAATATGATTTTAGAACCCATTAGTGGCTTATCAATAATTTCTCAAAAAACGTACGAGTCTTCTAACTTTTTAATTTGTGATTGGTGAAAAGGTTTATTGCACTTTCCTTGCACTGGAGGGGTGTATTTTATGGTAAACTACTACAGGCTGGTTCACATCAACTGCTGGCCTACCAATCTAATGTTTAACAAGAGACCTGTAGCTTTAATTATTGGAAGGGGGATTTCATCATAAGTAGGAAATCAACTTGCAAATACAACACCAAAAAAAAAAAAACTAAAATCATGTATTTAGATTTACCAAAAACTAAAATCATGGAGAAATCAAAAGCAACATCACAAATAGAAAGTCATCAACTAAAGCATTTTATATCCCATTTGGATAAAACAGTTCATTACTCAATTCAAATTCAAGTTATATAACATCAAAATAATGCCCAAAATGAAAACATAGTGGGAAAAATAAAATATGAAGCACATACAAGATCTAAATATATAATGGATCCTTTAATGCTATCCACGTGATCCAGGGCATATGATGAACCTATACACAAAAAAGACAAAAAAGGATACATGTATTTGCACAAATTCCTTAATTTTTTTTTTTTTTGTAAAAGGTAAGGTATTTTATTAAATCAAATAACAGTACAAAGGAGCCTAGGCCAGTAAAGGCTGCCTAGAGCCACCTCAGATTACAAATGCATCCAAGTCTGAGAACTAAACAACAATCTCAAATTCTGATTTTTAAATTCCTACGTTGCCGACACCCAAGACAGTAGTTTACCCACAGCTTTCTGCACAAATTCCTTAATTTAAGATTTGCCTTTTCTTACTAGAGGCTTATTAAATGCTAGGGATCATCCCATTCATCATCTAACAAATTGAAAAACACTAAAAACAGCTAAATATTAAAACGATCTTCCTTTTGATAGTTGCATGCTTGTTAGTGGATTTCTTGCGCTTGCTTGCTTTTGATGTTTTGGTCTTTGCTGTTTTGTCTTTGATGATGTCATCAACGGGTGCATCATCGATCTCATGGGATGGAGAGAGCCCATGCTCAATCTCCTCCATAATGTCCCTATTGTGCTTTATGGTGTTGCTTGCATTGCAGGTCAAATGACTAAGAATGAGCAACCTAGCTCTGATACCAACTATCACAAGACTAGTCATCGAGGCCTCGTGCGGCACTCGAAGGTGTCAAGAAAGCCTATGAAACAAAGCAACAAGCAACAAAGGCAACAACGATGATACACAAATTAGTCAAAAAGCACTTTGTATTGCATTAAAAGATAACAAGCACAAGCACACAAATTTGGTCGAGGGGACCTCGTGCTTAACCTTTGCACATTATTGACACCATTCAACTACCTACCTCCCCTCAAAGAGTAAGGCTTTTGGGGGAGAGACAGAAGGAAACATCGACAATGCTAAAAAATATACTAATAATTACTACAAAATGCATATATTGCCCCACCTAAGACACACTCAAAGACGCTCAGATGGCATGTTGTAGGCACAATGGATGGCACTGATAGCACAACGAAGAATTCACTTGTGACACGAGTGTGGGGCACTAATGCCAACTCCACAAATGAAACCAGTGCAAGCTGGATGGTCGGACTGGTTGACCCAGGAACTGATCAGGCAATTGGTTCCATTTCACCCCAAAGCCACTCTTGGGCCAAAAATTGTTGATTTGGTTAGCGACCCGCTGACTTGGGTGGTCAAACCGTTAACCCATCAACCGAGATGACAGTTTTTGCCTTTTTTTTTTTAATTTTACTCATTTTTGTTAAATCAAAATGGACCATTTGTTCGAACCAGACGGTCGGACCATCAATGCGGAAGCTGGTCCCCAAAACGGTTTCGTGTCCGATCCGGTTTTTAAAACCTTAAGGAAATCATATGTTAAACGGCACAAAAACCTTCGTTGCATTTGTCATCTCTTTTGTCCAAGAAGATCAGTTCAGCGCTTCTCTTGAGACTATTTATAGTTGTTGGGGGGCATTATTGTCATTTTATCTCCCTCGAAGCCAAAATACATAAATACCCCCCTATATAGCTGTTTACAGTTGTTGGGGGTATTTCTATAAAAAACCCCCAAAAAAAGTTGAAACTAGCCGTTGAGGGGGTCTCCAACGGCTAGTTCTTCGGACGGGCCAAGTCGTGCTACTGGCCAGGCAGTGCCAAGGCCACAACAATGCAGGCCATGCCGGCCCAAACCACTGACCTGAAACCCCAAGCCCAACACAGCCCATTGGCCCATACAATCGTGCCGAGCCGCGGCACGGCTCGTGAACCATCGAATCAAGCCATGTTGGGCCGCAGGCGGCCTAGCCCGATTTACACCTCTACAACCCTATATCAAGTGACATCAAAGAGATATGCAACAACAACCATAGACACTACCACCAAAAGTGATCGTGACATCTCTAGGAAGAGGACAGCACCAACACTGCCATAGCCGCAATAGAAGCCATATGCGCCCTCAAGTGATGGGCCCAAAAGAAGACCCAAGGCCAACTCTAACACCAACATGGGAAGAGAGTGACACTAATACAATAGGAATCATTCCAACACCCAGCCTCCATCCAACCCATATAGTAATCCTACAAGGAGAGAACCTTGGGGAACACCCTCAATGTCCACCACCCTTTTAATCCAAATTCAACTTTTGCACCAATTTTTACCTTAGCTAGTAGTGCAAGCTAACCCAAGTCACGCCTGACTTACCTTCAAGCCGCTATCCAAGGACTTAACTTAGGACCTTTCCATAGGTTTCCTCAACATAATAAGCACCTTCAAGCCTACCATCCAAGACCCAAGCAACAAGCAGAAGCCAATCTTCAAGGACAGAGACTGAATTGAGTGGAGGAGACTGTCACAAGTGAAATCTTTGTCGCACCATCAAATGCCATCCACCGTGCCCACATCATGCCATTCGAGTGTCTTGGGTGGGGCAATATATGTATTTTGTATGGGGGGAATGCCAATGGCGTTGTTATAATTATTAGTATGTTTTTTTTTACCAATATTGATGTTTCCTTTTGTCAGAGTGGTGTTAATACCATATAAAGGTTAAGCACGAAATCTCCTTAACACAAACTTGTGTGCTTTTGTTTGCCAGCTTTTAATGCAATATAAAGTGCATTTTGACTAATTTGTGTGCCATCATTGTTGCTTTTATTGCTTGTGGCTTTGTTTCATAGCCTTTCTCGACACCTTAGAGCATAGCACGGGGCCTCAACGACAAGCCTCGTGACACTCGAGCGCCCCAAACAATCGAACATCGACAACTATCCTCTCATACGAATAAGGATGCAAACGGATTGGATTGGATTCAAATCAGGGTATATTCGACTCCGATCCAACACTGTTCATCTCTGATACAATCCAATTCGAAGATCCAATTGGATCTAATAGGACTTGATCTGAATTCGAATCCTATCAAATCTTTGGATCTGATTTGATCCGACTTGTTTTCTTTAAAAATTAATAAATTAAATAAAGAAAAAATAAAAAATACAAGTATTTTTTAATTATTTTCATCATATATATACATTTTTTTATAAAAAAAATAAATAATATAACAAATTAATAAAAATACAGTATAAATAATATATTTATAAATAAATAAATAGCATATATATTTATATTTATAAATATATAACACATCGGATCAGATAGGGGGTGATCCAAATTCAATCCGGTTTCTGATCAGTTCATAGGATTCGATCTGAAGATCGAATGTCGGACCATGAATTGAATTCGACCAAATAGGACCAGATCTCGGATCGGATCATGATCCGATCCATTTGCACCCCTACGTACGAACTCCTTCCTTCATGCGTGCAGAGCTAACAAGACAAACATTAGCTTGTCCCGTTAGCTCCAAAATCACCCAATTCCCCCCATTCCTGCTTTGGATTTGAGACTCGACTTCCTCACGCCAGAGCTCAAAATACACAATTTCTCCGGCGCCAACAATCTGTACGGAGGTGATGTCCCTCTCTCTCTCTCTCACACACACACACTTATCATTTGATATTATTTTTTCTTTCACTACAAAATAGACAAGGGGAGGAACCCACCATTGGCCATCACCGGCGACCACTGACAACATACTTTTTTTGGCAGATGGGCTTGTCATTGATGCATCAATTCTATCATTTCTAATCTCAGCTATTTTTATAGAAGGAGATGGTAATACTAAGGTTGGTCATGGTTTATTTTATATGCTGAGGTTGTCTGGATTTCTCTTTTAAGGATGACAAAGGGGGGTTTGATGGGTTTGACCAGATCAAGAGTTTTATGTGGTTGTCTGTCTCAGCTAGCTCGAATCGTTTGATAAAATATCTGTTGCAAAAAGCTTGGATTTTTTGCTTGGCTTCATTATTGTATACTTGTATTATGACTATTATCTATATACGATCTTCTTTGTTTTCCTTTCAAATTGACAATAAACATGGTGTGCAAAATCTTCAGGGATACACTGTGCTTAATCTTAGAGATACATGGTGCAAAATCTTTATATGATCTCCTTTGTTTTCATTGTCTCAAAAGGTCCAGAGATTGTGGAACAAAGGCAAAACAAAACCCCAAAAAAATGGTTCGCTGGTGATGACATAGAAAAAACCCTCATCTTCGGATGTTCAGCAACATATAACAGTATAACCGTTTTGGGTAAAATACAAATGAAAAAACATAGAGTAGAAGGAAGAGAAAAAAAAAAACGCACCTGTTTAATGTCGCCGGTGGTCACCGGTGGTGGGTTACTCCCCTTGTCTGTTTTGTAGTGAAAGAAAAAAATAATAATAATAATATCAAAGGATGAGAGAGAGAGCGAGCGAGCGAGACGTGTACATTACCTCCGGACGGTGTGACTATCAGAAGGATCGTCGGTGTTGGAGAAGCTATGGATTCCGACCTTAGCCCGAAGAAATCGAGTCTCGAGTCTAGAGCGGGAATGGGGGGATTTGGGTGAATTTTGGAGCTAATAGGACGAACTAACGTCCATCGTCCATCCCATTAGCTTCGCACATGTGTTCGATTGGTTGGGGCGCCTGTGGAGCATTGATGCGAACTCTCCTCTATGGGTATCGACTATATGTATAATACATAATAATATCAATTATAATTAAATGTTAAATTATATAATTATATTCTTCTATAACATTTTTTATTTTAATTTAAAATTTTTATATTAAAAATTAAGATTTGAGGCCAAGAAATAGTGGGACAAGGCACTTTTGGGAATATGTAAATCTCAACAAATTATTTAGAATAAAAAAAGATCATTATAGTTGGATATTAGAGTACAAAGTTATAGTTTTTAGATGTTTGCATTTTGTGTTAAAATCTTTCACAAAAAAAATGCCAATTTTCTAAAACCAATACAGATTGATTAGTTTTTCGGTTCAACTCAATGGTTAGGCAGTTCTGACTGATTTTTTTTTTTTTTGAAAAATATGGTAACTTTATTAAAGAAATAAAGGGCACATAAGAAGATGTACACAGAAATTACAACTCTAAACAAGACATCCCTATGAGCATCAGCTTTTGCTAGACCATCCACATCAGTGTTTAGCTCCATAGGGATCCAACCCAGATCTGCATTTAGGTTGAGAAGGATATCCCTTGCTTTAGTCAAAAAATGAGCTAAAGACCATGGCCCACTGCCAAAGTCAGCAAGCCACCTGATTATATTTGCTGAATCTCCTTTTATGGTGATGTTCTAAAGACCCAGGTTCTAGTTAGTGCTGCCATAATTTCAGCCTTTGTTGAAGAGGCTATCCCTATTGGTCCACTGAAAGCCCAAATATATGTGCCATCTCTTCTTCTGAAAATTCCACCAATTACTGTTGCACCTGGTTTTCCAAATGCACTTCCATCAAATTACAAGGTTATCTCCCCTTATGCCAAAGAAGAATGTGGGGTAGGGAGGATTAAGGATTGGTGTTTGGAGAACATAAATTCTGCAGCATTTCTTTAGAGGTCAAAAAGTGGTACTCCTTTAAAATGCTCTGAGTTGGAGGTTCAAACGAAAATTCTATGAGAAATGATAGATAAAAGCTCCTCAAAGTTTCTTTCTCTGTTGTTGAAGATTTGGTTATTTCTTTCTTCCCAGATGCTCCATAAGATGGCATGTGCTACGGAAATCCATAGAATCCTTCCTCTTTTGCTTAACCTTCTTGTTGTCCATTGTTTGAGACAGTTTATCACATGTTTGAAGAATGTCCAACTAAAATTGAAAATTTTGAGAAAGAAATTCTAGAAAATTTCTGGTTTCCTCACAATGGATCAGAATGCGATTGGCTGGTTCCCTGGCTTTTAAACACAAACAACAAACATGAGGGGATAAATAGGACTTTCTTTGGTTATTTTTCTAGAGAGAAGATCCAAAGTGTTGATCTTCTTCAGACTAGCTTCCCATGCAAAAAAGCAAACTCTTGCAGGAATGCGAGTGCACCAAATTGTCTTAAATAGGAAAAGTTCAATTAACTGATATTTCTTGATTAGAGCCCTGAAGTAGGACTTGGTTGAGAATTTACCTACTGGGTATAGGGTCCAGACTTGAGTGTTAGGGGTGTTTGGGGAAAGGTACACTTCTCTGAGAGTGTAAAGGAATCTAGATATTTCCTCAAGTTCATTTTCTCTTAGGGGTCTTCTAAAGTCTAGGTTCTAGTTGTACTAGGAGTGATGTGAGGCTAGGACAAGGGAGATGGGAGCTTCTTTGTTTCGGGTAAGGCTATAGAGGCGAGGAAAGGATTCAGCCGAGGTAGAGTCACCCCACCAAATATCAGTCAAAAAATTTATTTTATTCCCATTTCCTATTTTGTACCTGATAAAGGATATGAAATTTCGGTAGGTTGAGAGTATAGCTTTCCAAGGGTTTATGTCCTTAGAAGAACTGTGTTTTTTTTTCCTCTCAAATGACCTATTCCCAAACCACCTTCCTCCTTAGAATTGCACACTTGGGACCAATTCACAAGATGGGGTCCCTTTTCCCCACTTCCCTCCCACATAAAATTTCTTTGAAGTCTTTCAAGCTAATTGACAATTTTGGTTGGCATTCGAAAAGGACAAGAGATAGTATGTGGGCAAGTTTGCCAAAGAAGCTTTGATTAAGGCAAGTCTCCCGCCTTTGGACAAGTAGTATCTTTTCCACATGGCCGGTTTTTTACCCAAATTTGCTAAACCAGTCGAAGGCTTGGATTACGATTTAACCCATCCAATAGATCAATCCCATTCGGTTTTCTAAACACCAATTTTCCTATTTGTTTTGATTTTATTGATTCAATTTAGACTGCTTTTTCAATAAAAATAGGATTAAGGATTAATATTGATTAGTTGATCACTAGAGTTTGTTAAGTGGACTATGTATCACAAACCAAGGTTCAAAATATTGATACGTCGTTAGAGGTGTATCAGGCAATATAGGTAGTTTTTTTGTTTTTTTTTTCAAATCTGATTTAGAGGGGCCGATTTAAGGTCCTTCCACCCCTTGAACTAGTCAAAACCCTGATACACTCTCTGTAGGGGCATATCGGGAAACTCCCAATACGATACATGTCGGCCATATACATATCGCTATTTTGAACCTTGTCACAAACCTCCACCCCAGTGTTACAATTTACACATTCTAATGTTCATGGGGTTCACTCACTAACGGAATTGTACTTGCACCTCACACAAACCTCACTATACATTGACAACTATGCATTGTCACAAACCTCCCAATGCACATAGGGGTGTCAACGGTATTCGAAAATCCGATTTCGAATTCAATATTTGGCATAATTGAATCGAATTCGGATAATTCGAATATCTAATCGATCGAATTCGGATATCCTATTCTTATCGAATAGTTAATCAGATTCGAATTCAGATATGACCTGATTCGATTTGATAAATATTTGAATTCGAACGATTATTTAATTATTATATATAATATACGAAATATTTTATATAATTTATATACTTTATATCAATAAAATATTTATTGTACATATTTATGAATTATCTAAAATAATTAATTAATCAAATTCGAATCGAATCGAATATTCGGATATTTAATCGGATTCGAATTCGGATATTATTTTTCAATATCCATCGAATATCAAATCGAATTCGGATATTGGATTTTCTAATAGGATTTGAATTCGGATATTGCCTGATCCGATTCGAATTCGATCCATTTACACCCCTAAATGCACGGCTGTAATGCTGTGAGGTTGGTATAAGGGGAACAGGATGTGCTCCTCAAACAGGGGCACCTCATAGGCACATCCACTATGCATTGGGAACATCTCCCATCTCCCATGAATAATAACTTATAAGCATGGGAGAAATTCCCAATGCATGGTAGGATGTACATGTGAGGTTGGTGTGAGGCGCCCCATGTGAGGAGCAGATCTGGTCTCCGTGTAAGGAATGTAATGTTGTGAGGATGAGTAAGGAGCAAATCCTGATTCGTCACTAATAGGACTGGGATCAAAATTTCTGTATTCTTTTATGATTTTTTTCCCCAATTTGTTTGTAAGAATATTCATATCAGTTTTCCAGCAACTTTTTACATTTAACCAATCAATCAAAACCATCAAATTAATAGATCGGTATTCAATTGCATGGTTTTCAAAACTGAACCGTACCGGAAAAACTGGAAATCAGTCATCCATTTTACCTCAGAACCGTCATTTTGGCCAAAAAACTATTGATTTAATCAACAAACTATTGATATGGGCAGTCGAACCGTTCAAACCATTCAACAAATTTTGGCCATTTTTTTAATCAGAGCAGGCCATCCATTCAGTTCGAATGGTTGGACTGTTTGACCTGGGAACCGGACCCCTAAACGGATCATTGTTCGATTCAGTTTTAAAAACCTTGTTTAGTTGAAAGGAAAATTTCACCAAAAACCACCCCAAAAATTTTTACTTCACCTAGATTCATGACAATTTAAGACTTTCAAAACCCTCAATTATCACATTATATCCCTCTTTGTATTGGCATCAATTCCCCAACTCTACAAAATATGATGATATAAGATTTTATGAAGTGGGGGTAAATGAAATTCCCTTTAATTCCAAATTCCTATGGTTTTAGATTTTAAGTGCATTTGGTTGCAGATGGGATGAGAAAGGATGTGATCAGAAAGTAAAATTTTATTTCTCAATTTTGCATCATGCATTTGATACGAAACTAAACATATGAGAAATTTCATTTTTAATATTTGATTGTTGAAAAAATTAAATTGTATAAGATGAAGCTAAGCTTATTGAAAGTTTGAAACTATATTCTTTTCATTCTTTTGGTAGATAGATTTAAGTGGTGTTTGGAACTAATGCCATTTCTCAGAAAAGGGTGCTGCATAGGCATGTTTTTTTTTTTTCAGAAAACGTTTTTTTCCCCGGATTTTCTATTTGGTGACATTACTGTTGCTGCCACATAGGCACAAGAAAACACCAAACCACACCTTCCCTGATTTTAAGGCATGGTCTAAGAAAATGTTTAAAATGAAAAGAAGGTTAACCAAATAAAGTCGTTTTATAAAAAATGGACTTTCAGACATGGTGCTGATTAGACCTGTTCATGGGCCGGGTGGCCCGACGGGCCGGCCCGGCCCGGCCCGACCCCCGGACGGGCTTGAACAGGCTTTTTGGCTCGCGGGCTTAACCTCGGGCCAAAAAGCCCGGCCCGACCTATAGTTAAACCTAAGTAAATCCGCCCCGACCTATAGTTAAAACTAAGTAAAAACCCTATGTGATGTCTATTTGAATAATTTTTTTGATTTGAGAAGGTCATTGATTCACTTGTAGGCTCATTGTTCATTTAAATAGGGGAAAAACATCTAAATTAAAATAAAAAATGTCCAATTGAATAGGGAAAATTTTGAATTTCTTTTATTAGGTCGGGCTTCGGGTTTTTTATCAGGGCCGGGCTCGGGCCCAAGTTATAGGCCCGTTGGTCGGGCCGGGCTCGGGCTCGGGCCTAACAGTTTTTTGTTAATAAAGAGTCAAAGCCCGGCCCGAACCCGGCCCATGAACAGGTCTAGTGCTGATGTGACACTGTTTTTCGAAGCAACAGCATTGGTGCCAATTGCCAAAAACCTACATAACCTATCAAAGATTCACTCCAAAGATGAGGGGCAATCAGAAGCGATTACAAATTGCAACCCCAAAGGTAACATAAAAGCAGGACTAAAGACCGAAGGACTCGCTGCCATCAGAAGCAAAAAAAAAAAAAAATAGGAAAAAAAAACAGGCCAAAGGATTATAAAGAGCTCTCTCAGCTATACTGTTAGCAACTTGTTTTGATCTTTGAAAATATAACATAAAAATTGAGTGAAAGGGAGCGAATGTCCTAAAGGATATTTAAGTGAGGAGTAAGCTGGCTTAGTCAATGCATTGATGTCTTGAATTAGCTAGAGGGATGTCCACTTCAAATATTAGTTTTGATATCCTCATAGAAATGGTCTCAATGCTAAAGCTTCTGCTACAAAAGCTGATATGCAGGGGAGAATAGGGTGCATAAAGCAAATTAGATCACCTCTATGGTTTCCCACAATTGCACCCAGTCCAACTCTAGCCGTTCTAGGGATCCAAGCAGTACCAGTATTTAATTTCAAGAAATCAATGTCGAGCAGAGACCATGGACTTTCTCTTCTAGCCATAGGGGTGTAAGAGGGTGGATAGTTTGGTTTCTTCCAGGGCAGCCCAGACTTTGAGTCTTTGAGATGGCTTCATGAGAATACCAGTTATTCACAACCCCTGTCCTGAGAATTAAAAGGAAAACCCAACATATAATCAAGTAATCTGAGAAAACAATGATTTGCCTTGGCATTGGTTTCATTTGTTGCAAAATCATGGCCTACCTGCAATAATATGAAGAAAAAATGTTGGGTTTTCCTTACCAACCAAGTTGATGGAATTGATGGATGGGGAATGCCCTCAAACTCTAGATTGTGTATCTAGACTTATCATAACCCCCTAACCCTGGTGTAAGTGGGGTTCAATCCCAAACCTCCGCTACAACCAACTGGAGACCTTACCAACCAGCCAGTTGTCATCTTGCTATTTTGTTCATAATTGATAAAGTATTAAAGTACCATGAAATGGGGTTTATATTAGATTTAGAACTTGGTGGAAATAGCTTTAAAAATGAGAAAAATTAGTTCAAACTTCCAACTGCAAAGACTTCCCTACACTATCCTTGGGTGGCATAAGGAATTAAAATAATAATCATACCTTTCTGGTAATTATCCCAAGACTCTTCTAGTGTTCTTTTGCATCCTTTACTCATAGTACAAGTTTCACCCCAATAGACCCTGATACCTATACAAACTAACCCACTTCATTTGGTCAATTAGCCTTTTTTTTTTTTTACAAAGGCAAAGGATACCAAGGGCCACCCCCCCCCACCCGCCCCAAAGGCATAACAAAGGTTAGGTTTGTATCCATCCACTTTCCCAAGATTCCAGATAGCCAAGAACAACATTCTGTAATGGCCTTTTCAGGTGCTCTAGATGCCCATTGCACTTCTCCGCAAGGTTGAAAATCTATCTTCAACCAAAGTAATGAAATTAGCCATCAGAATTAATCAGAGTGGCAATCAGGATTTATGCAGTTTGGGTTGGTTCTTGGGTGAATATCAGATTTTGCATATGTCCAGGCAAGCTGGAAAGGGTTCAGGTGATACAATTTTTGTATCTTTGATTAACCAGACCAATGAAGCAGCTACCAAAACCCAATCAGGAAATCAAACTGCTATATCTGCCACCTCTTCATAGTGTGTTACTACAATTCCAATTTTTGTGTCTTCGGGCTATCAGAAGACAAGGATTTCCAAAGCATTTGTCTATTTAGAATCATAAAATTGTACCCTACGGTACATCTTTGTTGTTTTAACATATTGTCAAGAGGCAGTGCCAAAAAGGTTCTTTCTTTCTTTCCTATTCATCAGAAAAAGAAGGTTTTTTATTTCCATCTTTTCTCCCCCAAATGGCAATTAGAAAAGGTTTCATCAATAATACAGAAGCATAGAGATATACAGAAAAGGCTGCAAGGTCCACAAAGAACCTTCTAGTCTACAACCCTGTGCACCCAAAAATAGGAGGTTAGTTACAAATAAAATTCATGTGGATGGTGCCACAAAATATTTAAAAATGAAAGCCATTCCATAGCCATTCCATAGCTGCCCCTGCAAAAGTACATGAAAAGACTCTTCTATACCTTCAAAATTCTTCTGTTGCAAAAGAATAAACAACGCCTTAGTCCAAGGGATAGAGCCCTTATGGCCCACTGGAGCCAAAGGCCAAGAAAGGCTAACATCATAGACAAGGAAAGGACACAACTATGATATGTCAAGAAAAAAAAAAGCAGTCTGAAGTTCAGAAGTCCCATGGAAATAGTAAACAAATGATCCACCAACAACTTTTCTGACTTGCATGTAATGCATCTCCAGAAATGGTTTGCATGTGATGCACGTCTAGAAATGAATGCCCCAATGGCTCAGATTGTCCATATTGAGCACCTCGTCAAGAAAAACCAACCAAAAAGAAGCCTCATTTCTAAAGGGAAGATGACAGCCCTAAATGTAGTTGATGTCTCCAAAGGGACATCATAATGGCAAGAGAAAAAATAGATGGAATCACCAAAAAATTCCATTTAGGGCCTAAATTCTAAAATTCTTGTCTTTTGCTACAAGTAAATGGAAACATCTCTAGCTGTGGAGTATAACACACTTACTAATCCCCCTTGTCCCTAACTGAAGAAACAATAGCTTTTCAATGTAATCATCAGCAAATGCATTTGGCTTTTGATGGTTCATAGCCCAGAGAATGTCTTATACTATTACATAACTTGTCATATCCGTTGACAATGACAGAGCATTCTCATTTAGTCTTGATTATCTCAGCTTCAGACTCTGGGAAAGAAGTTATCAATATCAAGCCAACTTCAACATAATGACTCAAAGCCATTTTCAGCTACCCGATACTTTCTGATATAGCATTTCTGAAAACAGAGAACAGAGGTCCAAAATATAAATAAATGCACCACTATCTGCGCATGCTGATTGAAAGTAACATATAGTAATTTGTAGATATGGGTAATTTCTTGTAAACACATAGGAGTCATGGACACATTAGGGAAGAATGAACACTCTAATCATCAAATTAGAAAGAACAATAAGGGGTAAGAGAAATAACAGATAGTCTGATGCCTTGTAGAATCATAGAGCTTAGAATTTTGGCAAGACACTTGCATCGACATATCAATAGTTGCTTTAGGACCAAGGTAAAAAGAAGAAAATTCTTAGAATAATGGAAAAGGAAGTTGCAACTTCAGAAGTCTACCCCTACACATGGTTATCTCTTCTTAAATGTCCATCCTCACTACATTAAACAAAATTACCAAATTGAATAGTTGACCTCAATCCTTTTTATTGGTAAGGTGCAACATACGGAGCCGGGAAGCTTAATGAAGATAGAACATTTAAGAATCTTTGCATCAGAATTGTATGAATGATCCAAGATTAAATTAGCACCTTTTTCTCAGAAGGTACCATATATCAAATTTAGCAGCTAAACTCTCTTGAAATAACTGCAGATTTGTTGCTCATTCCATCTTGAAGTGATAATTGCAAATATAAATCACCATTTGTCTTACTGAGAAGTTGATCTGGTTATGAAAAATTTCAAGATAGGAACAACCAGCCATGGTTCCACCTGAGAATATCTGCTGCTAGCAGCCACTGCCTCTCCTGCATTAAGATGGTCCACATGGTGAGGTTAACGTATCGCAGCTTCTGGACCAAAATTTTTATTTTCTTTTTTCCTGAATAATGTAGGAAATAGTTAAGTGCTTTTATTACATGTTGAACTATATCAAAGCAGTTTTACTTTGGCAATGTCAAAATCACATTGCACTGCAAATATCAAAAGAGAGAACTTATAACAGTGATCTCTTTGGAAGTAGGAAAAGTGTCGATGATTCCAGTAGGTAAACTGTTAAATGACATCTGTAACTCATTGATAAAAAAATGACATCTGTAACTCAAGGGTGCAGATGACTTTGAAATTCATGACTTGTCATATAAAATGGGGGCCATATCAATTTATTGTAGTGATTATGACATTCAATGTGGACAAAAATACTAATAAATAAAGATTAGGTTTCTCCACTAATTGTCACCGAGTTTCCAGTACAACCAGTGGCCTGTTATTTATACTTCTGTGGCTTCATAGATGGCATGGCCTAAAAAATGAAGAAACCTAGAGAACCATTCAAAATCTTTTCCCAGGTATGATCGTAATCCTCATACCTGATGTAACGGAAAAATAACTAACCTAAGACTTGAAAGAATGACTGTAGAAAGGGGAAACAAGCTTCTATATAGCAGGCAGAGCACACATTCATGAGTTGAGCATTGACACATCTTGAATTAAAAAGCTACCTCCAAGCAAAATTAAAAAGCATGAATCTTTTCGAATAATTCTTTTTTATGCTAGAAAAAGCAGGAAATGCTTCCTATTTCCAAAAGAGCAAGAAAAAATTATGATTTCAATACCTCAGTCTCAATGCAAATAAGTTGATTACGCCCATATTTGTCTGACTACAGAGCTTGGCTGAGAAGAACTGAACAAAACGGAATGGCAAAACAAGATTCATTTAGCTGAGATGATGTTGACAAGGCCTATGGATGATGTTGACAATGATGATGATGATGATGATACAGAACTTGGCTGAGATGAGAAGATATCGAGTTCCAAACTTCCAGAAGAGTTCCCAAGTGGACTCCTTGTATTAGGCTCCAAAGTAGGTTCCCACAATGCCAGGATGAGGGAGAGGTTTTAGATTTGTCCAAGAGGTATGTCTGATATTTCAATCTGATTTTTCAGTGTACTACCTACGGATACTCATACTCTTCCGCTTCTGACTCAAAGCAAAGCGCCTTGCCATGGCAGGGTTGTAGAACTTCCTCATATGCTCTGAAAGCCTGTGGATGGCTTGGAGATCACCAATTGCTGAAAGCTGCATCAGGAAGGAATCAAACTTCCGATAAGGCAATCTCATCCCTTTGTTCACTACATCTTCCAAAAGAAAGCATGCATCCGCTGTTTTACCACAACCAAACAAACCTTCAATCATCACACAGTATGTATCAGTATCCCGTGCACAGCCCCTCTTATCCATCTCATGCCAAGTCTCAAATGCCCCATTTGGATCACCAATCTCAAAGAACATTATGATCAGCATGTTGAAAGTATGAACACTAGGAACACAACCCACCTCAATCATCTTTCTATACAGCTTAAGTGCTTCATTGTCCTTCCTAAGGTCACAAAGGACTTTGAGGAAACAATTATATGTTACAATATCAGTGGGGTAACCTTTGTTTCCCATCTCTTCCAGGAACTTGTAAGCTTCTTCAGTCTTTCCAGCCAAACACATCCCTTCAATCAGTTCCTTGTAGGTTGAAACATCAGGAAGGCAACCACTGTTTATCATATCTGCTAGAAGTTTAAAGCACTCCTCCATTCTATCACACTGAGCAAGAGCTACAATCATGATGGTATAAGTCTTTGCAGTGGGAGAAGACATAGTTGAACCTTTTGTTTTCATGAAATCAAATAGTTCAGCTGCCTCTGAAACCATCCCAGCTTTGCAGAACGCATCAATGGCAGTATTATACGTAAAATTGTCTGGAGCATAACCCATTTTGATCATTTCTTCCAATACCCCCATTCCTCTTGTTGGGTCCCTCACTCTACACCACCCAAAAAACAAAATATTATATGTGTTTGCATCAGGGATGACCTTATTCTTGACCTTCATAAACATAGCTTCGGCTTCCTCAACCAGACTGCACTTGCATAAAGCATCCAAAAGTAAGTTAAATGCATTGATCTCTGGCTGAGTTTTCACCCTTATCCTCTTCTTCTTTGTGAACTTCTGAAGATGGGTGAGATGCTTTTCTGTATATTGTCTTAAGACTGTGAGAAGAACCTCGACTGGCACAGAGTTCTTTTCCTTTCTCTTCATGTAATCCAATAGATCACATACGATACGAAACTGCTTTACCTTGTATTTCGTACTGGATAATATATCAATCATGTCATTATAAGTCTGAGCTTCATGGGCATAACCTTCTTGGTGACCAGCCCATGTAAAGAATCTGAAAGCAATTTTCTCTTCAAAACGAAGCCTTCGCAGGACTTCACCGACCAACTGGGTCGTCAATTTTACGCCGGCCTGATCAAGAGCCTTTCCCATACTCCGGCCTGCACTAGAATTCTCCACAATAATTTTGTATAGCATTTCAGAATCACCACCCAGACATTCCTCCTGAACATCAGCTATACTAGAATCACCGTTTTGACATGGAGAGAGAGTCTCCGAAGAGAAAAAGCATAAACCAACCTTGATCACAGAGGGTGAATTTAGGAAACATGGCGACATTGGCAAAGCTATACTTCTACAAGCAGGAATTGGGGTCAAATTTGAGTAAGCCCTGATCAAAGAAACGGAAGAGGGACGATAGTATATTAATGTGGGTGGACATAAACGCCAGAAAAGATCTCTAACTGAACAAGATAGCAGACGAGAAGATGAACAAGGAAGAACTGAAATTATTGGAACTTGAGTAATTCGATATGGTGCTGCAAGTGACCTTATGAATCTAAGCGAAGCACAGCAGGGAATCGAAAATGGTGGCACAAGAAGATTCAAATGCGAAGAAATCCTAACAGTAGAAACAAACAAAATTGGAGACATTGGCTGACCGTTGTTTCAAAATGAATCACGAAAAGAGAATTAACTCTAGGAGCATTTCGAGCAAGCCCTACACAGAGCTTCCCTCCTCCTGGCTCCAAGTCGAAGGAAACTTATTTTACTTAAAAGTCTCGTTGTAGTTCCATAAATAGCCTCAATAAATGAAAAAATGCCCATACAGAATGAAGGTTGTTTGGCCCATTTCAGTAAAAGATTGCAGCTGCCAGTTCGACACAGACTCGACCACTCAGTATTCTGTGGTGCACAATGCAGACAACTTCGGAGCTCATGGCCTGTAATCCTTTCCTCTCCTATCGGATCTCGATCTCTTTTTCCTCATTATGCAAAACTCTCTCTCCTCTCCTTCGAACCAGTATCTCATTTCCGACACGTTCGCCCCAGTTCAATCCGATAAGGTTTCATTCCCGTTCTATGATGGCGAATAGCTTCAGCTGGGACGACGTTTTCCGAATTTCACAAGCTGACAATGACTTGGATGATTCTTCAGACCTTCAAGGATTCTTCGAAAGGGTCAAAGCTTGTAATCGAGGATGTGTAAGTACTATCTCTCTTTTCATTGTTTGATTGTGTAGGTCGTTTGTATTTCTGCTATGAAATTGTTTTCTATTGTTGAAGGAGAGTGAATTCTGACAGTTGAATGTCGAATTTGTCGTTTTGTCCATATCTACTTACAGGAAAAGAAATCCGAATTCATCCCTTTTGTTATTGAGCAACAAATCGTTGGATATATCCACAATCGGTATGCACTTGCATCCTTTTGGATTCAATAAACTGAATCTGGGCTTTGTAGTTTACCAATTGGTGTTCTTTAATAAATTCATTACATTATTGATTTACCACCTAAATATCATATATCAGTATTGCCTTTCACTTGGTGTCTATTATAGTTTTCTTCATACTTCCCTTGGTTCACTTTCTCATCTACTTAAACAGTTAAATCAAAGTGCTTAAATAGCATTTTCTTTCCATGCCTTCAATTTCAACCCATTCCAAGTGTCAATATGTAAACGGAATTAGCTAGATTTGAGTTATCCTTGTCAGCAGCTCAAGTGACATGTGTTTTGCCTGGAAAAGTCATACATAGTTCCCTCTCTTTTACGGCTTCTAAAGAAATCTGAAATTTTCTTTTGTTTAAGGAAATTCCATTGAACATTGTTGTCTTTGGGGAGGGCTAAGAGAGTTTACCTCTCTCCTTGGATGCTGTAATTGTTGATCCTTTCTTTAATAAAGTTTCTATTATTGATTGAAAAAAAATCCATTTAACATTCTTTTGGCCACCAGAGTTTGGATATATCATGGATACACCTCTTCACGATATGATCATTCGATTGTGTGCAGCTTTGCAAACCACCTTAGGGAGTTCCACAATGTGTTTGACTTTCTAGAAGATAAATCCTATAGCAGTCACTTTGGTGGCTATATCACTCTAAACCCATCACTTAAGTCATCAGAGGATAGGACAGAAGCAGTTGCAGATGTAATTAACTGCTTGGGAGGGCTAATTCCAGGTACGCGGAATGAGGTACATATTGCGATTACTAAAATGTAATTCTCATGATTGTTGATTTTTCTAATGATACAAGTAGACTATATTCTATTGGAAGATAAATAACCTAACATTTGCATCTAATAATCTAATGCTTGTAGTCTTTTTATTTGAGAGATGCGCGTAGTTGTCTGCTTATGGTGAAATCTCCATCCATGTGAAATAAGTATAATTGAAAATTTCTAAAATCTAGCTCATTGAGTTTGAAATCCATGTGTTGTTCATTTCATGACCTTTCTAATTGCCAATTTCTAAACAAATAAGCAATTTAGTGTCCATCTTTCTGCCAATGTGAATGTGAAGGGTTTTCCGTTTTCAGTGAAGTTTGCATCTGTGGTTCCAATTATAATATATCTGAAATTTTCTCAGATCCAGTTCTATGGGCTTGTAATTCATGTCTTGTATTTCACAAAATATTGTGAGTTTGTATTCCATGTCCTGCATCTCACTAACTAGTGTACATTGATTCTAATCAGCTATACCCTGTCACATCATCATTTGGGAAGCCAGAATTTTTTTCGTTAGAACGTGCAGCTGCTCCCTACTTTGGCATAAAGGTTAGTTAAGTAAACACTATTCATAACATGATAGCACTTTACATTTTAAGTCAATGCAATTTCTTATAATTACATTTTAAGTCAGTACAAGGTGTACAGAATATATTGTTTGAGTATTGAAACTCCATTTTCAAACCCAAAACTTAGTAGGGTTTAGAGTTTCTGCTATATAAAAATATTTTCTTCACTCCCTTATTAGCTAAGTCATTGGCCACAGAATTCCATTCTCTTGGAATCCATTTGACTATGTTGGGGATAATCTCAGATTATATCTTATCTCATTGAGGTGGTGAGTTAATTTCCAATGGCCTTAACAAGCTCTATTTGCATATTTGATGACAATGACTTAAAAGGGACTGCATCCTTTTATCAATCCTACACCCAGTCAACAAAGCCATAACTTCAACTTTGACTGCACCAGTATCTCCAATGAGGTTACTATAGAACCAGTATCTCCAATCCCAGAGAACTTCCACCAAATTGCAAAATTAGCCATCTATTTGGGATTGGTAAGGGAGGGTCTTTTGATTGAGGGGTTCTGCAGTGATGATTGAAGGTCCTCATTTGGGTTTCTTTGGTTAGTATCAAGGGAGATGCCTTTAAACTCCATGGTGTTCAAAATCTAAGACTGAGATGGGTAAGCTATTTTGTCCTAAGGGCTTCAAGGGATGCCTCATACCTCTCCTTCAAATATCTGATTGTTCCTCTTCTCCTATACCCCCCATAGGGTTGCATGCCTGATTGATTTCCACTACAGTCTACCCTGAGAGCAAAGATGAACTGACCTCCACTGATGTATGAAATCCACGATGCTGCCCAAAGACATCCACTCCATCAATGTTAAAATCAAGGGAAAAGTGACAAAGTTTGATGGTTTCAGGACAGTAAAGCAGCAACTGTGGAGTTGTGTCCTCATCTTTCAATCACATGATATGGGCCTGTGAGGAAACAAGGCTGGTGGCTTGTTCTTTCATTTCTTTAATAGCCTGTCATAAGTGTTGATCCATCTTCTTGCCACCTCCAATGAAAGAAGCATCCTCTTGGTGGAATAAAAGGGAGCCTTAGAAGGGAAGACCTAGAATTTGGAGTTTGAAATGTCTTTCCTTGTTAAAGAAGTTTGGTGTAAGCCTATCCAACCAAGGGTTGGGAGTTTTTGTTGGGAAACTTTCCTGGAAAGAATCAACATAAGTGATTTGCTTCAAAGAAAGAGACCTAAAAGTTGTTTATCTCCTCATTGATGTGTTCTCTGTAAGTCTAATGGCGAGACTGGTTACCACTTATTAATCTCCTACCAATTTGCTAAAAGTATTTGGGAATGGTTTATTTCTTTGTTTGGATGTAGGCGAATCCCTCATTAAATGTGCAAAGCTTATTTGCTTCTTCTTCCTTCAGCTGGCCAACAAAAAGAGTAAGGATAATGTGGAGGTGTGTAAGGGCTGCTGTCTAATGGACTATATGGGAAGAAAGAAACTCAAAATTTTTTTTTTCAGACAAGGAAAGAAGCCTATAAAATATTCTAGAAGTGATTTACATGGCATGACTAAGCACTGAGCAGGGCAGCATGGCAGTCAAGAACCTTACAAAGTGCCAGACGAAGCAAAAGCAGATTGTATAACCCGGAGTACCATAACTGGACCCACTGGATGACCTTGATTATGAGATACTCTCTAGGATATTACACCCTTCAGTACAAGGCGATCAAAATGGCATGAATACACATGGGTAACTAGTGCCACTGTCACAGTGTTGGTGCCTGCAGAATCTGAGCATTGTTGAGCAGTATAACTAAAGATACTAAGAAAAACCACACCACACTCTACCATGTGATTCAATACTACTTATATTTTGGGAATTTATTTGTAAGATCCCCTTTTTGATAGGCTGAACTCAAGGCCAAATCTTGATAATGGTTTGAACCCAACCCCAAGTCCCCAAGCTACTTGTACTAAAAAACAAGCAAGCTTGATTCATAGTCACATTATAGAAATCTTATGTAGTGTTCCCATATACATCCTAAGATTACCTTAATAGTATGGTCGGATTTCCTAGAGAAGTTCTTAATACTGGACAAGTTATAGTTTGAGGAATGAACTTGAATACATGTGCTATCTGCATTTAGGTACAAAAGACAGCAAATCATTTGTTCCTATATGATAGATCCTTCAGGACATACTTCTTTGAGCTCCAACTTCCAAGATGAAAAGGGAGACAACAAATAAGAAATAGAAAACATTATAGAGATCTTTTGCTATTAAGGCCATGTCATAGATTTGTATTTGAAGAAATAGTTGCATATTCAATGGTTTCCTAATAAAGAAGAGGTGATACAAAGAAAAGCAATTGGATTGGTTTGCTCTTTGCCATCCAGGGGTGGATTCAAGCCGAGCCGAGCTGAATCCTTGGCTATTTGAGATCGACTCGCTGAAATTGTTCGATTCGAGGTAGAGACTTGAGCTCGAGCTCGGCTCGATTCAAAGCTCGCAAGTTCAAGCTCGGCTCAACTCGAGCTCAACCGAAAGCCAAGTTTTTTTTTCTAAAAAATAAAACTATACATTATTTTACATACAAAACATTAAGGAAGACAAGCCTAGAAGGGATCCAAAGAGCAAAAGAATTGGATATTAGGAGATTGATTCTTGAAGGAGATTTGGAGATAGTAGTAAGTTGGTTAAAGGAAGACAAGCCTGGTTTGTGGAAATACAACAATGAAAGGAAAAAATTTAAATGGTTGGCAAAGGATATTGAAGTTAAGTACAACTAGGTTAAAAGAACTGCAAATGCCTTTGCTGACAAGCTAGCTAAGCAAGGGGTGTATAGGGCTTCTTTCTAATTCTGTTTTTTTGCTTGTGGGGGAGTGAAGACAGTTTACCTCCCTTTGTTTGATTGTAATACCTCCTAATTAATTCCAATGAATTATTGATAAAAATTATTTATTATTGTACATATAAAAATAAAAATATACATATAAAAATAAAAAATATACATATAAAAATGTTTTTATTTTACATACAAAAAATAAGAATTATAAAAATTATTTACTATTATACAAAAAATAAAAATATTATATACAAAATATTATTATATATATTAAAAATTATTTATTATATATATATTTATATATGTATATGTATGTATAAAATAAAAAAATTATTTATTTATTATACTAGGCTTGATTAGGCTCACAAGCCTAACGAGTCGAGCTTCACTGAACTTGAGCTCGGTTCGATTAGCAAATGAGCCTATATATCAGGCTCAAACTCGGCTCGAAGCTCGATTTAAACTGAGCTGAGCTGAGCTCGAATAGCTCGTGAGAAGCTTGGCTCGTGGCCACCCCTATTGCCATTTGTACAGAAAGAATTCAGGGAAATCCAGCTCTGTCGACCCTATTCTCTAGTGCTCTCACACACACAAAGAATGACTAACTGTTTTGTCCATATGCTATATTAGCATTATTGTCATTTGGGAGTTCCCTACTTTTCCTGATCCTCTTCTGACCTCTCTTCTACCTCAATCTTTTTTAATAATCAATAGTTATAATTTGTTAATGATTAAAAAGAAGATGGCAACAAGATATAGCATAAACTAGAAATGCACCCATTAACAAGGGCCAACCTACATAGAAGTAGCTAAAACTAAAATCCAAATACAAAAGGGGCAAAAATAGGATTAACTAGGAATGGGAACAGGGTGGGGCGGGGACGAGGAGCCTCTCCCCATCCCCGTCCCCGCGAAAATCCCCATCCCCGTCCCTGTCCCTGCTAACGGGGACAAGGTTATCCCCATCCCCCTCCCCATCTCTGTCCCTACAAAAATCCCCATCTCCGTCCCTGTCCCTGTCCCTGTCCCCGCTGATGGGGACAAGGTTATCCCCATCCCCGTCCCCACGGGGATCCCCATTCCCTGTGATTTTTTATAATGTTTTGTTTTTGTTTTTTATTTTATTTAAAAAAAATAAAAATAAAATAATTAACATTTACAATTGTAGTAGAAAATATTCAAACATATTCAACCATATTTTTAAAAATATTAATATATAGACGTATGTGTACATATATACATATATAACGTATGCATACATATATACATATATATTAGTGGGGATCCCACGGAGTAGAGATTGGAGTCCCCGTAGGGCGGGGAGTGCTCTCCCTGTCCCTGCCCTGTCCCCAGTAACGGGGATGAAAATTTCCCCATCCCTCCGTGCGGGGGAAAAATCAACCCCATCCCTGCCCCATTCAGGGCGGATCCCCATGGGGATCGGGGAAATGGGGAAAATTGCCATCCCTAGGATTAACTTTGGCAATTTAGAAGGTTGGGTTTTGCCTCATGTATGGACAGAATTCTTGTGAAAGGGACTCCACCATGGTCATAGCATGGATACAAATCATATCACAAGGTTCATGGGCAATGGTCTCTCTGGGGAAGATGAATCATTTGCTTGACATAATCCAGAAGGTCAATACTAATGTTGGGTCCCTAGCTCTTGGTTATTTAGGTCCTTGGGAGGGGTGGACTGAATTCTGGCTTAACCTTTGGCATTTTTTTGACTCAGACCTGAACCCATGTTCTCATGCTTGTCAGCCTTTGATTCACCATTTTTTTTATCAGTAAGCATGGATTTTATTTAACTTTCGGATTAGAAATAGTTTATACAACTTAGTGATGGGAGTGATGATCCCATTTGAACCCTCTTTTCTTCCCTCATTACAGTGCAGCCCAAAATAATTGCTGTCTCAATGCCCCTTGTTTTGCTAGATAATCAGCTAGCCCATTTACACTGCTTTGATTCCATTTGAATTCAGCCTCAACCTCCTTTGCAATCTTTTCCACTTCCTTAATCTCATGTTTAAACATCCATGGGGTATGGCTGCTGTTTGTAGTCTAGGAAATGACTACTTTTGAGTTCCCTTCCACTTCAATGTGCCTGTATCCCATCTGTTTAGCTAGCTTCAAACCTTGTAGTAGTGCCAAGAGTTCAGCCTTCAACAAGTTCCCTGTTC